TTAGCGGTACGGGATCAAAAGTACAAAAGTAACTGACAGCAAAGAAACTAATTATAGTTGAGCCGACCAAAGAATTGTGACGGGCGGTGGGGGTAAGAATTTGAAGGAAGGGAGGGCTTGTTACCTCACTCTACCACTGTAGCCTGTTTGCTGGCGCCACTCGTCTATTAAACGAGTAATGCAGTCAATATGAGTGGAAGAGGTGTAGGGAAAGGGGTGAGGAGGTAGGGAAGATAGGTAGTGTGCGAGATTATCCGTGAGAATTATTTGTCCGTCTTCACTATAGTTTCATGGTGTGAGGTTTCTCCCGAAAAACTGGTAATTGATCAAAACCCCGAAGTTTCAGTAGCGTATCCACAAAAACCAGCTATTACATTCCATCCTGAATCAGTTGAACTGTGTACAGACACTCATATTTTGTATCCTACGTTCCATTTTAATGTTATATTCCCATCTATGTCTAGGTCTTCCAAGTGGTCTCCTCACTTCAGATTCCGATTCGTCTCTCACTTTCTCCATGTTTGGTTTCATCCTCTTTCATTCTGACCTCATTATCATGTCATGTTACCTGATGACTTCAAATTAAGTCAAATGCATGATCTTGATTACCACAGTGACAGCGGCTTGAGACACGAGAGAGTGGCCACGGTTGCTTTATTGTACAGCGATTTTGTGACTTTCAGTAAACTATTTGAAACACGATACTGTAAGATTTAAATTTCATTAAGCTGCATTTTAAACAAAAATTGCGTCAAAATATAGACGTTTAATTTCATGAAGATCTATTAACGTTTATTCCCGGGAACGAATTTTAAAAATCGGTATATCTCTATCGACATGGTAATGAATTTTTCCCATCTAAACAGACGATTCTGTGTTTGCGTAGAGACGTTATTTAAACTGGGTCCAATGAGATGAGAGAAATGATCATAGATGACAAATAGGTAAAGACGTGGAAGGAGGCNGCACCATGTTTTTTTGGGGGGGGGGGGGTTCTATTTCAATGTACATTTCAAGTAACACTTTGGAGAGAATGAGGAAAGTCACTTAAACCCCAGTCAGGTTACACAGTAATCCAGTCGAGATTCGAACCAGTTACGTCATGATTTATGTATAAATCATTATCATTGCGCCAGCTTGCTTACTTTCATTGTCTTCATACTTGTTCATGCAACACTCACAGCATTGACCATTAATCTGATCTCGAACAGTCTTGCCCTGCATCACGATCTTCAGGGACTCAACATTTTCTTTGTATATATACGTACATGTGTATACTGGCCTACCGTATTGTAATGTGACAGAGTGACTGTAGACGGTGTTTGGATTGATAATTAGATTTATTGAACACTTACAGAATGTAAGTGATATGATATGTCTTCATCACTCGTTGTCTGGTAACGGTTTCTAACAGTGGACGTTCCCCTTGTTCTAGGTTGTCGAACTATCCCCGTGCCTCAGCTACCAGCTTCTAACAGCGACAGCTCACAAGAACTGAACCCCAGCAGTCCTCTAACTCGTTTACCCACTAACCAACTCGCTTCACTCCACTGCACTAATTGAACTGAACTCGGTTGGTCGAGTGATATAGCCTCGGAGCGGACCACATAAAAATACCACTTCCAGCATTACTTCCGCTGTTACACGTGGGCCGTTACCTAGCAACTGTTCCAGTACTTCTGCATATTTACGAAACTGTTGTCTAGCAATGGCCGTTGTCTCGTTTGTTGGGCAGTCATTGCCTAGCATCAGATCTATATGCCACAATATATTTGCATCTCACACTCACCCTACTAGGCTTTAAATTAAAGGAAAAGGATGAGATGGGCGGGGTTTGTAGCAAGCATGGAGAGATGATTAAAAATGTTAGTCATAAATGGGAGGATGGGAAACAAGGCGTGATCAAGTAGTGTGAGGATCTGGAGTCGACTCAAGTTTAGCATACAGCACTGTGACGAGCTACCCTGACACTAATGAAATTTCAGTCCCATAAAAGGCATGCAGTTTACTGAACAGCTGGGCGAATATCAGCTTCTCTAAAGGATTTCGCTTCATTGATTTGTTTTAAATTTAATTTGACGATTTCTTTGCCTAACGAATAACTTTCAAAAAGCATACCCCTTTCATAAAATTAGGACTTAGTGCAAAGTATTAAGTGACCCCTGCTCTTCTTGAAACTGCTGACAGCGATTGATGAAGTTTTGTTCCCCTTGTTCGGGTTCTGATAAAATCACGCTCTCTCTCAGCACTCAGTTCACTGTGTAATATTGTACTGCAACCTCCCCACATGTGTTGCAACCTCGGTTTTCACAAAAAATGTTATGCCTGGGGTTTGCTGAATGATCTACAACTGTATGGCTGACAGCGGGAATTTCATTTGTTACAGCACTGTGAAGATACTATTTTTATTTCAGTGTAAAATTTTTCTGTAACATTTCTGAGATTGAAGCGCTGTTTTGGAATGCACCAGTGTAATATCCGAACTGCAGGAAATCCAATTTATTCTCACACCGATCATCTATAAATGTGTTCGTTCGCGTCTGTCCAGCTCTGGACGCCGAATCAACACTTCGTCACCCGATGCTTGCTGGCTTATTTCGATAACACTGCCTGTTGAGCATTCAGTCGCCTTTGGAACACTAAAACTACAGTTCGCAGTGTTGTGATATATAGTGCTCAATAATGCAATATACATGAGTGTTGAATAGAAAAAATCCATATACTATACCTTCATGTGAGCGTTTTTCATGGAGGAAATGCCACATGAAGGTACAGGTAAAACTGTCCCTGTTTTTAACTAATTACGCACTAGGCCATGAAGGCGTATGGGGGAGTGGAGGCCCGGTGGGTCCCAGAGCCGGTCTGGACGGCGTGGGGAAGAGAAAATTCTTGACCCTACTGGGACTTATCCGAGCGGTCTAAGGCATTTACTGTCATCGCTCGCTCGGAAGCCGGGATCGTGGATTCGAATCCCACACAAAGTATGGATGTTTGGTGTGTGTATGCGTCTATTCTGTGTTTGTGTTGTCCTGTGTTTAGGTTGAGGCCTTACGACGAGGTGATCACCCGTCCAAGGAGTGTACCGGCTGAACCTGAGAAATCAGCCCTATGCTCCAAAGTTGGAGCAAAAAGGGAGAAAAATAACCGGGACTCAAACTCTGACCTCTCGGTCGTCCAGCTGTACCGACTATGCTAACCCGGCTCCTGCCACATGAATAGGAATTATCCTAGCAGCAGAGTATGTTGGAGCAACGATCTACAGTACCGTAATAAAATTATGTTCTGCAGAATCGGTTTTTGACAAAAATAGACCTCGAAAAAGACATTGCTGAATGAGGAAGAAACAGATGATAATGGTATACACTTGATTACAAGCAAGCTCGAACTTGTAACTTTTGGTTCTGTTCTGTGAATTGGAGAAAAGTACATGTCACATTGGCACAAAGTCGCTGAAGTCGGCTACTGCGTTTGGGTCGGTTGCAGAAGAATTCTATGTCAGCTGCGGGAGTGAATCTAAGGGTAAGTGCACGCTTTGTAACAGGCCACTGGCCGGGACTGCAGGAACTCTGTTATTATGCTCCGTTAAATTAATATTTCGAACCAGTAGCATCATTTAAATTGGCACTGGAGTAGGTTTCTCTTCCAGTACTTTGAATTTTCGTTCCTAGTCAAGTTTCCAAAAGTGGCCGACAATCACCTGATATGCGTGTAGAACTGTAAGATGGGTCCGACTTGCTAGCACTACATTACAACCTTCATCCTACATGAAACTATTACTGAGATGATCAAATGAAGGAAAATCAGATGGGTGGAGTATGTGGCACGCAACAGAATAATTATAAATGCGTATGTAATAGTGAATAGGAGATGTGACGGAAATATTAAAATAATTCGTAAAGAAATGTGATGGATGTGTGTCGACTGAGTTATTGTGACTGAGCTTAAAGACCAGTGTTGTGAATGGTGATAAAAATCTGGGCTCCATAATAAAGGCGGAGAATATTTTCACTAGCTGAGCGGATATTGTCTTCTCCGGAAGCAAATTTGGCAAGCGAAAAGTAGAAAACATTCCATATGTCGCCAACAAAATAACACTACTACTACTACTACTACTACTACTACTACTACTACTAC